GGGGCGGGGGGAGGTAGGTCATCTCCAAACATACGCTTGGTTGGCTCTCGATGCGTCAGTTAAGACGGGACGCTGTTCGAGGATGACGACCGTAAGTATCTGCACTACCCCCTGCTATACTCACTATTGAGAAAAGAAACTAGAGCATCAATACTGCACGACTGATGTCCCGAACCACTTCAACTGAAGCAGAATGCAAATGGATACAAAGTGTTTTATGCGGCTGAGTTACAGAATAACGGAACATGAATGTGCGTATTGTTTTGTCGACACGGGTGTTTCTACAGCTCCGCAGTAATCGCTTCAGTAGTAGTGAGTAGTATTCTCGTGCAATATGTATTAGTTTGAATGGTTAGAAAGGTTTTCTCTCCATCGATGCAATACAGCGTCATCAAAAAGTGCCGGTTTATGGACAGGCTCGATGTTTTTCGTGCTTAATGATGTGACGGTAAACGACCGTACTGATTAGGACATGGCTATCTGCTGTTGACCCCAGTTCCGGATGTTCCATAACCTGATAGCATAATTACCGCTCTGTACCACACCCATAACAGAAACAGTTAACTGAAATGCAGCAGTAAATTATGCAATATTACTGAGCGAGTTTTCTATCATTTATAGATCACCTCAAGGGTAACACAATTAACCAAATTTATTTTTTGTATGAAAGGGGACAATGGCATATAGGGTGAATAAACGATACCAAGCGGATGGTTCGTTGATCACTCCCCACGACCACTCAATGGTAACCAGACCACATACCTAGTATCCATCTCAAACGACGCAGTTTTTCCTGCTCTCAAATGATGAAACTAAATGTAATTAATGGATTAAGAATTTGTATATCTTCATCCGTCTTCTTTCACCGTGTGAGGTCTAGATCAATTCATTTTTTCCGTTCTGTGGGTCCAGTCCGTTTGTCTTAACGTGTCAACATGCCAGCTTTACTTTTTCCCATTCACTAATATCTTCGAGGTAACAGTACTTCCTGTTAAACTCTACGGGTTTGCACGAAGAATAAATGACGAAAAACATTAAATTTTAAGACAGAGCCATTTGCGCAATGCTTATATCACATCACCGCGCATGAATACCGCTCACAATTTACAGTGAACTTTTACCGAATAAAACGGATATCACTTTGACACCACAGATGACCCCGATAGACAAAACCATGGTGTAACTTTACGTGTACATGCTTCGAAATCAATCCACAATGAAATTTTTAGGCACATATTGCAACATTAATATTATATCAGAAGGACAACGACGCTTAAAACCCACCGTATTACTGTTCGAAATACAGTGAGACGCCCCAAGAACAACAGCACGTTAGAATCTATGAAATGATGGGACGGTAAGGGACAAACATAGGCTGCACAGGCTACTCATACTGGGCTCTTTTCAACAGCTAACAATTAGAAGAGTGAATAAGATACTGAAACACACATTTACATTATTTGTCTTCCAATGTTAATACTGATAAAAGTGAATAACTCCTATAATGAAGAATAACATTAGTGACAAAAATGTAATGTCCTAGTTTCAAGATGTCCACTAACTAACGGTGGAAGCAATCGTCCTGTATAGAATCGGTGCGATCTGCCGTGCTTACCCGATGAACCCAATCTGTATTGTCCTCATCGGTCACGCATCGATCTAAAGCTTTTGGGGTTAAAACGAGAAGGAAATTCGCCGAGGATCGAATAGAATGAAGCAACGATTCCTTGAACCTTCCCGCAGGTAATCGATCAATGTCCAGGAATACTCGATAACGTCTCAATTCCAAGTGGACTTTGAGCAAACTGGCCAACGGTGAACCGTTCACTCGACGATACGAGATAAAACAGTCCAGCGTGCGTGCGGAAGATGCACTGTCTGAATCCGTCACCCCCATCTGAGTAGAACCAACTTGATCGATCGCAAGAGCAGGTGGGGGGCAATAGTAGGCTTTGTGTGGATATGATGTGGGAATTGGGAAACAAAATCATCAACCAATGCGAGGATATCACAATTTTCAAGGTGTTATGCATCATCTTCGAATAAAATGAACGGCTTCAACAAACCTCGATCATTGGATAGGAAACATTGCGAAACGGTTGGTTTTTCCCATTCAAGGGTTCCATGCGGTCACAAGATTAGAGCCCAAATGCAGATGTAGTCCACTTTTAGTATCGATTAACCTTTACAAGATGAGCAATGCGGTCGTGCCAATAATCTTAAATCTATTCACTGTACTTTTTGAGTAAACTCATCAAGTTATTGAGCGATCTATTTTATTATTCGCTATTACAAATGAAGGAGTTTGCTTACAACTTTCCCTGACTGATATGAAATAGTGGAGTTGCCGTTTAAGAACAATTCGGTTACACAACTCATTTGTTGCGTCAATGTACGTTTGCTGTCATTTCTAATAGCTAATAACTTTGGACGACCATTAATTTCATCTATTTCTCTCAACTGACCGATAACCTAAAGGGGATCGCGATGTGTGTGTTTGCGTGAGTATTATTCCGAACGGAATAAATGCTTCTGGTTCTAAAATGCTCACAAATACTCACTACCGTTTACCGTCTTTTTCTCAATCTCTACTACCCCCTCCCCAGTGCGTACGCGCTCACACACACACACATACACACAAGTGCATCCATCCACGCATAATAGTGTCATCTACCATAGAAAATGTCACCACATTCACCCTGTTACCTTTATTCAAGCACATCGTATTTGGCTCGTACACTTTACGATTAACGGAAGTAATTATCATTTAGATCAGCCATTTTTTAATTGAAACCAATAGCGATTTGAGGAGTCCACTCAGTAATTAATCGATATGCACGCAAGCATCCAGATTCATAATAGAGTGACGGTACAGACAGTTATGTTCGTTCTCTAATTCGTCCATGTGTCCCTTCGGAACGCGTTCGGATTATACGATCGTCTCATTTCAGTGGCGCTTTGTCACTCAATTTTATCATATCGCTGACATCTGTTAATACAACACGATTGCCGACCGCAGCACGATTGAGACTCATCATCATCATCATTGTACAGCGTAATACAGTGAAGCGAACTTCACTGATCGCTGCCAAACTCATAATGCATACAAGATGAGTGAGAATGTGTAAGGAAGACAGGGATTGGGCCCATTTTCAGGGGCGGGAAGAGAAAGCGAACCTTTATGGTTAACACACAGAGTTAACAAACCAACGGAGCATACATACTAGTTCAAGCATTCTGGACTGATAAGAAGTGACTGCATGATCGCCATTGCTGTCGGTTCGCAGCTTTGACCCTCAGTGTCACCAACCATGCGGTTTCGCAGTCTTTTGGACCCCAAACCAGAAGACGAGAGACACCTACTCCACCTAATCGCTCTGGGCATTTCTTCATGACTCGTCTCCACGTCATCTGCTGGCCTCCACGTGGCTTTCTCCAGCCTGTAACAGCCACTGCAAATAAGGCGCGCTGTGGTAGGCGACCGTCGGACATACGCAAAACGTGTCCTAACCAATGGAGCCTACTGAGCTGGATTCGATGAGATAGCGAGTTCTGACGACTTACTTCTAAGTTACTAACCCGCTCACTAGATCCCACTTGGGACAGACTACGTATGCATCGATTGTCGAACACTGCTAAACAACGGGCGTCTTCTACCCGCAAATTCAAGTTCTCACAACCGTAAAGCAGCACTGATCGTACATTGGCGCAGTATACGCGACTTTTCAACTTTAGTGACATGATTGAGACTATTATTTTCCAGCGGGTTATATCCCTTTCATCATTTGCTTATCGAAACAGTAGATGTTCGATTGTTCTCGCGCTCTGAACCTTGGCCTTTCGGAAGAGATGGTGTTCCGAAATCACTTTTCACCAACCTTTATCTGTGCGAAATCCCTCACATTTGACGGGAACGTCGCATACGTGATTCGGGGACATAATCACCTCTTAGGCAGGATAGCGCCACTGCACCCATTGTGATGATAGCTGGCTCATGTTCTACGAATACCTGGGTAATGTCTGCAATATTATGCCCTTTTACAAACCTTGGATCAGATCATGAGGTGGGCAAGCCACGACGTGATATAGGGGGTGGAGTGATGAAGCTGCCTTCGAATTCAGCTTTCCTTGGGGCATTTTGCCTTAAAGGTCGGTACTTCATATGGTAAGATTGTTTTCGGTTCAAGACGCTACGGGCGGGCTTCAGTATTGAATGGAAGTCAGAGGTGAGAATGCATTTTGATGATTTTAGAATTTCCCATTGCTTACAGTAAAAAAACAAAATGTACTATCTGACGAAAACTGGAATGTGATTGTGTGTGATGGTTGATGAAGAGCACTGAAGAACTGTTACCTCTTTGTTGTAACGTGCCCCGGGGTTTGTGACATCTTATGGGAAGCAAATATAGTTAGGCCAGTTGTTCTGTTCTATAGTTTTTGAAACCAAAGCTTATCAAGGCAATATATACACAAACATCCCATAATAAATTTTACTGTCGACGAATTACAAAGCCTCACAAAGGTAAAAATACACCATGATGGATAGTCATAGGCTCGGAGGTTTAATGGCAAATGAATGTTAAGGAATCGCATTCAATTAGAGGCTAAAAACCTTCCATGAAACAATACGCGATGTATTATTCTGCAAAGTAGTCAGTCTTCCTAAACCAATTTTATAGATGCTGTTTTAAAAACAATTGCCCACAGGGCTTTACAATTTGGTCGGAGCTTTAATCCTCTTTGTTGATTTTGCGCCAAAATAGCTGCCCTTAATTGGATGAAACCTAAATTATCAAATGAGTTAAATAGCGTGATCATAATGCAAGTAATTAAGTGCGTGTGCTGTTTCTTCCTCCTCGTA